TATTTAAGATAAATGATGTAATCTAATTAATTTGATATAAAGTTTTTGTACTTTTTAAGATTTATTATTTCATATAGAATATCTATTATTATTTTTAATAATTTGTTACAATTAATATTGATTTGGAAGAGTTTCATATAATTTAATATATTTTTATCTATTTAAATTTATATATAGATATAATGGATTAATAAATAAAAATGTATTTAATATAACTTGATAAAATATATTAAATAGTTCAATAAATTCTACTGTTACATAAATAATAAATTTTAAAAATATATTACTCTAAATTTTGTATATATAGATATATATATTTTGTTTTAGTTGTCAGAGTATTCATAATTTAGCTTTTACATACTTTGAAATTAATTTATGATCCAATCAAAGATAGACTATTTATACTAAAACTAGAAAATTCATGAAGTATGATCTCTTCATTGGTTTCCCAATAAATCTAAATTTTATATTAATTGACTATAATTCTATATTAATTAAATATGGTGAAACTAAATGCCTTATAATTCAAATCTTGATTTCACTTAGAGTCATTTTTTTAATTAATTTATTCAAATCATTTGATTTTAATTATTTAAATAAAATGAAAATTAGTTTATTTTAATAACTAATTATTTACAATCACATTTAATTCTTATCATTATATTACTTAAAGTAACTAATAATCTCTCTTAAAGTGAAATTAACTCATCACATATCAACTGCATTGATGAAGAATACAATTCTGTTTCCAGTATGTCAGAGTTGTATCTTACATCGGAGAAAATACAGTAACAAGCCAGGAGAGAAGTGAGATCCTGACATTTATTTTCCAAACCAGAAAACCTAAATCTTACAAGCAGACAACATACTTAGAACAAGAAGATGATAGGTTCAACTTATTTAAGATTTTACATAACCTATTCATCTGTAAACATCCAAACAAAGACAGCCCTTGAACCGATGTTTCAGAACTTCAGTTGGGAAGCCAAACAATGGTCTCTTTGGCTAGGAAGTGGCAAATTGGCACAGATCCGGGTTTAACCTTCAAGACCTGAAATGCCAAATGTTTGGGGTTCCAAGTTGATGTATCTTTGTGACAAACAGCTATCGCCTTAACTTTGGTTCCATCAGAACCAATCAAGGGAACCTTATACACATCTGTTTTATCAATTGAATGGCACAAAAACACAGCATATGGGTACCTCAACTTGTGACACACTAAGTCCTTCTCTCCCATGTTCTTCACACCCTTGCCAATAGTGAACTTTTCAGCTTTTGTCTCCTTCTCAACCTCAGTTGACAGTACCTGTATCTTTTTCCCCAGCCTTGAAACACTAAGATCAATCAAGGACTCTAAAGATGTAGCACAGTACTTGTCTTCTCCTTCTATGGCTGCTGTCTCGCAATCTTCAATATTCTGCTTCATCATCCTAGCCTCTACTGATTTAGGGTCCATAGAAAAAAGTTTCAAAATGTCAGAGAATTTGTTACTTGAAAAAGGCATTGAATCTGCAAATGCACGAGGTAGGAAAGTTGCTTGGTTATGTGTTTTTGTGAATCCTGGCAACTTCATTAGCCTCCCTGGATGTAGATCACTTTCAAAGAAAAAGATACTGGCATTGCTAGTTAGGTGACTTCCACTTTTCAATTCATAATTGTGGAAACCGCCCTCTATGTTCGCACTTCCACTTTTCAATTCATAATTGTGGAAACCGCCCTCTATGTTCGCACTT